CAATGCAGCTATAAACACTCTTGTGCCTGTCTTCTTTCGTGCACATGGGAGAGGATTTCTCCAGAGGTAGACGTGGCAGGGCCTGTGAGGAAGTAAAGGGCATGTACATCTCCAATCTTACTAGGCACTGCTCAACCCAGTTCTCCAAAGTTCTTTCGTTGTTGTTTTTACCCCTGCTTAGTAGCCCATGAAAATCATCTACACGAATTTATTTCATGGCGTTCTGTGGATATAATGTATTCTAATTTATTTATCTATTCCCAACCATACTTACTGAATTCTTTTAGAGGAGAGTAAAATCGCATGAAGTGTAAACTCTGAACTGACATGACTGCAGCTGGAAGGCCCTGGAAGGTCTTTGGATTCCTATTAGACATTCTCCACTTCAAGGGTAAGGTCAGTCAGTCGCGCCGTTTGACCCCTTCTCTTCCATGGACCATGAAGCCAAATGTGATGCACTCAGGTCCCCTCTGGATGCCCACAGTGGAGGGAGGTGGGAGGGCAGAAGGCCAGAGCATGGGAAAGGAGTCTCTGCAGAGGCCCAGACAAAGCCGGGGGGAGGAAACATCCCCTCTTTGCGTGCACCTGTGGAAACCCCAGTGAGTATCAGCTCACACGCTGCTCCTGGGCTTCATTGTCCTGGAAAAGGGGAAACAGATGGCAGTTTAATAAGAACTTGATAGCATTGTTCGGGTGAGCAGGAGGCGTCCTCTGGGGAACTGGGAGAGGCATTCAGCTCAGAGCCACAGCAGCTTGGAGAAGGAGCTTCCTGTGGTCGCTGCCTCGCTCCCCACCTCTGTCCCACAGCAGCCTAGAGGAGCTGGGCATCCAGTCCTGCTGCAATTCCTGCCAAATCTCTCTGGAGAACCAGGAGCTGTGACCCAAGGGTGTGTGTGTGTGTGTGTGTGTGTGTGTGTGTGTGTGTGTGTAGGACTGGGTGATGGACTGGCTAAGATAGGGAAGCCCACGTTAGCCAGCGGGGCCCAAAGCACAGGGCATGAACAGTGTGGTACGGCGGGTCAATAACCCTGTCCTCGTCTTTCCCTTTTTCCTTTCCATGTATCTTGACCTTCAAGGGCTCCCCTGAGCAGCTACAGCTGCTGCATTTTGTTCCCTTAGGAAAGATGGAGAAGCTACAGGTTCTGCACCCCCCAGCCCTGTGCGGCAGCGGAGTGTCAAACATGGCATCCGAGTGATTGTTCTTCTGGGAGCACAGGAAGCCGAGCTTTTGTGGTAGCTTTGGCTTCTGAGTTTGCCTGACTGAGGAGACAGAGTCGCCGCCTCTGCACTGTAGGGGAACTGGTGAAAGGACACCTCTGCTTTGGTGGTGCAGACAGGCGCCTTCTCCAGTGTTCCCACTGCACCCCTCACCTGCTCCCCCCATCGCCCCGTTTCTCCTGTCCTGTGTATCTGGGGGTGACAGCCTCACCCAGACTCCTGTAAGGAGCCCCGGGAGGCCTCGTGGACTGCCCACTGCAGCCGAGTACCTGCGTCCTGCCCTCTGATAGGCCTGTCTGCTGGTTTCCACACATTGCTCCTGGCGTCCATGATTCCACAAAGCATTGCTTCCTTTTCTAAGCTGTCTCTTCTGCAGTTCTGTTGACTAAATAGAAGCCAAAGCTGGGTCTGGTGCTACAGGCCTGTAATCCCAGCACTCTGGGAGGCTGAGGCAGGAGGACCACAAGTTCAAGCCAAGTCTGGGGAGCTTAATGAAACCCTGACTCAAAATTGATTAAAAAGATGGGCTGGGGATGTAGCTCATGTAGCTCAGTGTGAAGGCCCTGAGTTCAACCCCCAGTAACACACACAAATACACACACACACACACACACGCCACGCCTTTTTCAAGGGGCACATAGGGCCTTTCCTGACCAGGCCCCTGGCTGCCTTCTGGCCTCATTCATCTGCCCCATGATCATGCCCAGCCATCTTGAGAGGTGGCACTTCCTCATTGGTCCAGGCCCTTTTCCCATCAGCCTCCTCTCCTTCAGTCACAGCTCAGTCTCCTCACCTCCCCGACTCATTGCTTCCGCCATGTCAGGAGGTCAGGGGCATCTCTCCTCCTGCAGGCCACCCAGTGCTGTCACCAGTGGCTCCTCCTGGAGGTCTCCATGGCATCTGCCAGTGAGTGGCCTGTGTCGTGACTCTGCGGACATCATTTCCGGTGCTCCTCCAAAGTTAGGCACAGTGACAATCCTCTCTGCTCCTGCTCCAGTGCCCAGCACTCAGGTGTGGACAAATAAATATTCTGTAAATTTCCTTGGGGGATGGGGTGGGAATCTTAGGGTGTTAATGTCTCCCATAGTTTCTATGAGACTTGTAGAAGGGACAAATCCTTGAGAACGCCCATGGGTTCCAAGAGATCCTCATCACTAGCTGATGCCTTACATTCCTGGCACCACCTGCCACTTTGCTGATGAGCGACCAACTGGCTGCTGTGCAGGAACTGATGGTGGACCCAAACCGGGGCACCGCTGCCATGTGTAGGGACAGGAAGGTGGAGAATGGCACATCAGCGGTCCAGCTTCCAAGGATCAGCGCTGATGTTTTCCCTGGGTGCTTCTGTCTGTGCCTTCTGCACAAGCTTTGAGCAAAAATAAAGCCCCTTGTGGGGCACAGATGTGAAGCTGGCATCTGTGGCTGGTGAAGGGGGCAACAGCCAATGGGGCAGAGGCTGTGTGGTCCACATTTCACATCGTTCCTGGAGAGGTGACTGCAGACAGCGTCAGGACCCTGCTGATGCCCTGTAGCCCTCCCCACTGCCCTCAATTTCTCAACTGCAAACAGATCAATGAAATATTTAAAATTCTGACAGAAATGACAACTCCAGGAGGGAAAAAAGGGATGGTTTCAGCACTGGATGAAAGATGAAATACATCTAGAAAAGCAAAACCTTTTCTCCCTACATAAGACCTTACATATTTGCCTTGAACAAAATGTTGTGAGGTAATATTTTTGCCTCATAGGAATAATTTTTCTCCTCAGATCTTTAGGGTTATTTTTATTATATCTAGAATTTCAAAAACCGTGGTTTTGCTTACAGTGATCCGGGACAGTCAGCTCTGTAAATGAAAGAACAAGGCAGAGAAAATGGGTTTGTCATGAGAGCTGAGAAAGTTACTGCCTTCAGATGCCAGTGTGTGACATGAATTGAGAGTTGGAAAAAAAAAACTGAGAGCTCTAATGCCTTAAAAATATTCTAATTTTTTGGGAAAATTGAAGCAAATGAATTTAATTACTGAATTATGCACAGTAATTAAAAAGCAATCCATCTGTAATAAACTGCATATATTTTCCAATGAAGAAAGCATAAAAAATATGAAACTCAGGTGATTAGAATTGTAGGTAAATTTAGAAAGTAAATTTGAATAAAAATTATTCCTTTCCTTTTATAGTAGTTTTTGGCCATAAATTTGGTCCTACTAAAGGAATCTATATAAATAAGATTAGAGGTATTTATAGTTTTCATCCAGAATGCTTAATTTCTAAAAAATTCAAGTACACTGTGTTCCATTGTAGCAGTAGTACATTACTTCTTTTTAGAAGAATTACATTTAGGAAAATGTGCCCATCCACATGTTTTTAGGAGCACAGCTATTGAGATAAAAAATGATTTTCAGATTGATATTCAGAACCTATTAAGGGATTATGTTTAAAGTTCAGCAACTTTGCTGTGGCTGCTTGCTATTAATGGGTTGTGCTGCCATAAACATCCACAGGAGAAATGTGAGCATTGTGTGCTGCAAACGGGTACTAACGAAGAAAGATAATATGGTAACACTGTCCAAAACTACGCAAGACAAAAACAAGTCTTTGCTGTCAGACCATTCATTCCTCCCAGTGAGCCCTGACAGATCTTCCCTAAAAGCTTATGTGTGCAGATCTCTTATCGGAAATTAAGGCCTTCCGTGAGGCTGGAGGAAATGGTCCTGCCAAACTGTAACTTTGGAATATAATTTCAGTCGCAATGCAGGTGCACCTGGATCTGCAAGTAACCCAGATGAGTTGGAAAAAGACATTGTTTGGATAATCACGTTTGCTGCCTGGTGCCTTTCCTACATCTCCCAACTCTTACAAAATCCCTATCTCTCACCGTGATTCCTCTCTTGGAATTGCCTGCTGTTCCCCCCGGATGGTGTACTCTGATCTGAATAAAGTCTTACCTCCCTTCATATCCTTGCCTTGGTGAATCCTGTTCACCCCCTGTCGCCGGCCCGCGACCTGTGTCATCTGGCATGGCAAACATTCTTACTGAAGATTGTTCAGTTTAAGATTCAGCCACACGGGCTCTGGCAGAAATGTGTCACCTGGAATGTGCTGTGGCATCTTCCTTTCCTTACCAATAAGAAGGAAATCTAGGCTGGGATTTCCAGACCCCAAGCAGGCAGCACAGCCTGTGGGCCTCTTACTTCCTGGGTTCAAATCTTCCCTCAGCCACTTTCTGGCTATGAGATCTGGGGCAAGTTACTTGGCTTTTCTGTGACTCAGTTTCTTCACTGGCAATTGAGGACAATATTTCCTTCTTAGTTTTGTTGGATGATAAATCAATTCATAAAAAGTTTTAGGGTAGTTAATGACTGTACATAGTAGATCCTCAAAAATGTAAGAGATTATTGACACTGGAGAGCTCATTCTTTCTAAAGCATTCATAGGAATCAAGGGTGACAATTTCTCAATACCTTTCTGTTCATGTATTTTAATTTTTATCACTACATGTTTGCAGTACTGTACATAATGATCCCATTCATCGTGGAGAGTTGATACATGTACATAATATATCTTCTTTTTTTATTTCTTTCTACTCTCAATGCATTTTTCATACATTCAGACTGTTCAGTAGAGGAAATCATTTTTCAAGAAAGTCAAAATTATGTGGATAAAATATCTTCTCTTCATGTCCTAGCATAAAATGTTAAAAATCAAAATAAACCAAAAAAAAAAAAAAAAAAAGAAAAGACAAAAGGAAGAGGGAAAAAAACCTGGCAAGGGGACAGGTTTTGAGGATTGTTTTACAAAAGTCATTGTGTTCTGATGGCTTGGCAGGCTACTGTAAACACCCGGAGATGGAAGTAGGAAATCGGAGCCAGGAGCCGTGGCTATCGGCCTAACAGAGCCGTTCCTTTCTTCCTGGTCATTTCCCTTCCTGAGTGTCTGTAGGAACCACCCACTTGGGTGGTTCTCAGGTTTTTAGGTCAAACACAAACCCTGGGTAATGCCTGAAAAAGCCAAACAAGCGGTGACAGTCTGCGCAGGCTGGATGACTCGGAGCCACTGCTGTCTGCGGAGCCCAAGCTTGGGTGACGGTCGCTCCTCCGTCATCTCTGCAGCCAGGAGAGCAGTAACCCTGCTAGGTCTCTGTTGCAGCTTACGGTCTTCTGGAGGGCAGCGGGCTCCTCACGCGGTTCCACCATGGATGAGACGCAGGAGCCTCTCCCCATGACTATCCACCTCCTCGCCGACTCTGGCCACGGCCTGCTCCTGCAGCAGGCTCTGGACCGGCTCCTGGATTGCATCTGCCCAGAGATGCGCCTCTTTCTGGTGTCTGAGCGGGTTAGACCGGTGAAATACCATGAACAGTGCCCGCCTCGGCGTTCCCGGTTCCCGGGGATGTCCGTTTTGCTGTTCCTGCATGAAAGCCTGGGAGGGGAGCGGCTGCTCCGCATCCTGGAGTCCCTGCAGCAGCCGCCCTGGCAGTGCTACCCGCCCCAGGATGCCCAGGGGAGGCTGTTTCCCTACCTCCTTGCCAGCCAGAACTTCTACAGCCTGGACAGCCAGATGCCCGTCTGGGGCGTGAGGCAGGTGCACTGTGGCGCTGAGCTCCTCAGGGTGACGCTCTTCTGCAGCTTCGACAACTACGAGGATGCCATCAGACTCTACGAGATGATCCTGGAGAGGGAAGCCTCTCTGCAGAAGAGCAACTTCTGTTTCTTTGTGCTCTACGCCACCGGGAACTTCTCCCTGCAGCTCTCCCTGAAGCAGCTGCCCCTGGGGACGGCAGTGGACCCCAAAGAGTCTTCCGTGCTGCAGTTCAAGGTTCGAGAGATCGGCCAGCTGGTGGCTCTTCTCCCCAATCCCTGTGTCCCTATCAGTAGCAGCCGGTGGCAGACCCAGGACTACGATGGCAACACGATCCTGCTGCAGGTATTTCTCCTTTCCTTTTATGGTCTTGTTCATGCACATGGAACTGGGTGATTTTATGTCTTAGGGGATGAGTCAGTCTAGTGGTTCTCAACCTTCCTCGAACATTAGGATGTTGGGAGCTTTCTGAGATTTCCATTTCTGACCCAGGCAGTTAGACGGGACTCTCTGGGGGAACCAGCGATTTTTTTTTTAAAACTCCTTGGATGGTTCTACTATTTAGCATGGTTGGGAGTCACCAATCTAGTAAAATCTCCTCATGGGACACACAAGGAAGTTCAGACTCAGTGACCTTGTAGCTGACGGGTAGTTTGTAGCAGAATAGGATGATGCTCCCTCCCTAAATTGACCTGACATCCGAATTGACTGTGTGCACAAACTTAGCCCACTCTTAAGATCCAGGAACACAATAAGCCTTTCCTCCTAACTAAAAGAGCTCAACTCGTGGTTGTGTTTGTGATGTTCAATTTGTAGGACTGTGGCTCAGGTTCTTCATAAGCTCGGTGAAGGTGATGTTGGCATTTTCTATAGCAAAAGTTGGTAGCTATACAAAATGATCCAATGTTCATAAAGTTCATCATTAAGATAATACTCAGAACTCAGTTTTAACTATTATTATTCATTGTATGCCTTAAATGAAGGGCTTGCAGTGGATAATTTTATTTAATCCCTAAAACAATCTACAAAGTCATCATTTTTCCATTTTGCAGATGAGAAAACTGAGGTGTGAGAGTGTCCAGTTACTCACCCAAAATACAGCTAGGAAGTGTCTGTGATCTTCAAAGTCCATGTGGTTAGCTGACTCTTGCAGCATAGTTTTCCACTGATGTGTATATACATGTAAATGTGCAGGCAGAGGGTTGTCCCTGAAGCCAACAGCAAAATATTCTGTGGCTTCTGTCCTTGAGAAATGGGCAGAAACCCCTCCAAGGCTTGCTGGACAAAGTGCTAAGAGGCTACAGTATGAGTTGTTGTTCCCTCTAGTACATTTTGTTGTCAATGCTTTGACTTCTAAATGAATAAAACATGGGTCATACTGCTTCACTAGTAAATGATTTGTAACTTATTTACTTTCTTGGTCTCAAAGGTGGATAGGTACTCTTCCTTAGGTTGCCTATTATACAACTCCCTACTTTCCAAGGCATTTGCAGTTTCTCTTTCAGTCTTAGTTAATCAGCAGAATGTAAAATTGCCCTCCCTGGCAAACACAACCATAAACGTGTGTATGCAGCAGGGGGCACGTTCTGACTCATTCCTGTTTTAAAGGCTAATTGATGTTTTCTTCTTCAGAACCACAGCTTATACAATTACTGTAGTTATTTCAGAAAGTTGAATCAAATCTGGGGAGAGCACAAGGGTTCTTTGGATAAAGCAAAGACCCATGAGGGATATCAAAATAGCCCCATTTCTCTTGGGATTGTTTTAGGAGTCCGGTCAGTTTTCAGACAGACTCACACTTTCTTAGTTCCCTTGGAGACACCAACTCTTTCCTGGTCCACTGGCAAGTTCTCTAAACGTTATGCATTCTGTTCCCCCCTCCAAAACGCTGCCTTGGACTCTTCCCCATGGTCCCACCATATGCATGACTCTAAGCTTTTATAAACAAAACCAGGGACTGTCTTCTGGAAAATTCTGCTCTTCACAAAAGTGCTGAGGAAAGTTTGCAAGGCCAGAACACTGCAGTGACTTATCTAGAGCGATGTAAGTCTCAGAGGGCAGTGCATTTTTCAGGGTAAAAAGCCCAGCCCACACTTCCTTGGGGTGGGGGTGGGGGACAAGGAATGGGTGGCTGCTGCTTTGGCTTTTGTAAGTGCTATGGTTTGTATCTAGATGTCCCCCGAAAGCCTCATGCACTCATAGGTGGGGCTCTGGGAGCTGAGTGGGCATGCATGTATGATACTCATCAGTGTTTATAGCTAAGCATGATGCTGGGAGGTGAAGCCTGGCCACTGAGGGTATTCCCGGGGGCGTGGCCTGGAAAGGTCTATGTCCCTCCCTCCTCCCTTGATCTCTCAGCTTCCTGGCTATCTGGTCGTGGGCAGTGCTCCTCTGCCATGCCACCCCCCTGCCTTGGAGCCAGCTGACTATGGCCTGGAATCTCTACAAACTGTGAGCCAAAATAAACCTCTCCTCCTTTAGGATGTGTGTGTAGGGTACTGTGTCTCAGCAGTGAGAAAGGAACTTAGTAAGTCCAGGCCTTAAACAGCATGCCAGAACCCAGCCCTGACCTCTGCCACGTTTGTCTTGGCTCTGTCGTCAGACGGGCTTCCCCTCGGTGATGGCAAGATGGCCCGAAGCGTGTCTGAGGGGCACACCCTTCATATGGGCTCTGAGCTCCTCCCCGGCCATGGCCACAGCATTTTTGGGCCCCAGTGCAGTGAGACTGGCTTGGATCTGCTTGTCTCATCTACGTCAATGATTGTGCTCAGGGAAAGGGACTGAATGGATTAGTGTAAACCTGGGGAGAAGGCTCTGCCCTCTGCTTGGATTCTGTGTGGAGCCAGACTGACCTGTGTGACCCTCAGGAAGGGTGAGGGACACAGTGAAGAGCAGAGTCGAGGAGACAGATTCTGGTGGCCCCAAATGACTGATGTCTGCCAAAAATAAGAAAATATTAAGCTATCCAGAGGTATTCCTGTCCCAGGGTCAGAATGGAAGCATGTGTTCCCAGGGGTCTGAGTGTGGGGCACGAGACCCCAGGGGTCATGGGAAAGTCCTGGGCAGGGATACCTGCCCTGCATGACCTGCATGGCACAGCAGGAATTAGTCGGTTGCAGAGGGAGAAAGGTTTTCCTGACAAAGGAGAGAGTGGAAGCACCTGCCTGAGGTTCCATATAGCTGGAGAAAAGGCAAAGGGTAGGGCAGACAGAGTGGGTAGGTGGACAGAACAGATCATCAGGAAAACAGTGTGTCATAGGGTATGAGCATCAAGAGCACAGGGTCTTTTCTAGCTCATGGCATCAAAGCTTGCACCTACACCAGTGTCTGACACACGGTAGGCAAGTACATACATACATACATGCATACATACATACATACATACATACATTTATTTATTTATTTATTTATTTATTTATTTATTTATTTGTTTGAGGTGCTTTAGATGTGACCCAGGGCCTCTTTATTTTGAGGGAGTGTCTCATGTATTGCATTTTTTTCAATTTCATTGAAGAGTTTAAAGAGTAATGGCAATAGTTCTTCTCTAAATGTCTTGTAGAATTCAGCAGTGAACCCATCAGGACCTGGGCTTTTCTTTGTTGGTAAATTTTTAATTACATTTTCAATTTCACTGATTATAATTGGAGTGTTTAGAATTTTTATATCTTCATTTAACTTTGGCAATTCGTATCTATCTAGGAATCTGTCCATTTCTTCTGTCCTTTCTATTTTATTAGAGTACTGGTTCTTGAAGCAGGTATTGATGATCCTCTGGATTTCTGCTGGATCTGTTGTGACTTCACCTTTTTCATTCTTTTTTTTTTTTTTTT